TGAACCTGGTTTAGTTTTAACTGTAATGAGGTAAAATGGTTGAACGTAAAGGTCATCTGAGTCTGTTCCTGTGTGCACTGGCCCTCACTTCCAAAAGCTTATAAGGGGGTGGCAGTGCTATAAGAGAAAATTGGCAAAAGGTCATTGTGGGATCAGCACTCACCATGACCTGTGCTGAGGTCTGCAATGCTCTGGTCTCAGATGTGGCATGGAAGTGGAAGTTTGGGAGAAACTCCTTAGAGGAGCTAATTCTAGGATGGCACTGTTCAGGAAGGCAGGTGTCCTGGATGATGCCCGAGCTATAGCTGGGGAATGCTGTTTCAGCATGGGTCTTTTGCTGCCAATGCAACCGCTTGAACAATTGGCTAAAACCTCAGTGAATCCTAGTCCCTGCTGCCTTTCAGGCAATTGCAAACCCAGACGCTCCTATTTCATGCCAAACAGAAATAGAATCTATCTTCTTCAAAGCTACCAAAATGGCTACAAAGCAGTGTGTAGTTTCATAAAGATGAAATAGGGTTTCGTTCCTAGAACCCCTAACATGAATGAAGAGGTGAGAGAAGGGCTACATAGTGTCCTGCCTGTAGGAAGGTATGGGAATCGGTGTTTGAAGGAGGTTTTTGGAGGAAAGAGGGGCATGCAGGGAGTCTTCTATATGTGTGCAGGCCTTTTTAGCCAATTACAGCAGCAGAATGTATAACTGTTAAGGATACTTTTATTTGTATTGTTCTTTACAAAGGTGAATAGGTGAGGAGGAAGGGAAGTAGTCCAAGAAAACCAAAGGGAGAAGGACGATTCAGTTATTGGCGATGGTGTCCTCAATCCAGGTAACATATTTGCAGATCTTGGTGTAGACACCTGGGTAACCCTTCTGAGCACAGCCCATCCCCCAGGACACGATCCCTTGGAGCTCCCCATTGCACATGGCTGGGCCACCAGTATCACCCTGTGTGGTAGAGACTTGGGGGGTTACAGGCACGTGCTGACTCAGGCAGCTGTACTATGAATCTAAGCCAGGAAGCTTCCCCACCCAGATCTAGGAACATCCTGAGAGCACCAGGCAAGGAGTCTGCAGGCTCCGCCATGTCTGAGTTGGAAAGAGGGTGAGGTAAAAGACACCTCCTCTTTCAGATGACTGCCCCTACACCCCTTTCTCTCCCCACACTGGAAGTGACTGGATCTACAAATTTGCCTGAAAAGTCCTGTATATCTAATT